TTTAAAGTTTCTTTTTTAATATGTTCCAGACTCTAGGCCTTTATTCAAGATGTAGTATATTATTTCCCAATAATTCCAAAAACATTACCAAAAATTTAGTAATTTAAAGTAAGAGAAATCTATTCTCTCCCAATTCCAAAGGCCAGAAGTACAGAGTTAAAGGTAAAGTGATGGTGTGATGGGATTAAACTTTCAGTCTCAGTGTTCATCTGTCTGGGAAGCAGGAATATGATTGACTTCAAATGTTTATGCTCTACCTCATCATTTCAATGAACTCATACATCTCCCTTTTTTATGTGTGTGGATTCCCTGGGGTTCTCTCTACATAAAACAATCCTACATTCAAATTGAACTTTTAAATTTCTTCCTTTCAAACATGTTTCCTCTTCATTTCCCTTGCCTTCTCACATTCACTGATACTACTATTATCTTGAATAAAATGATGAGAATGACGTATTTACCTTTTTCTGAGATTAGAAGGAATACATACAGCTTTCCATTATTAAATAGTGTTAACTGTAAATTATTTAGTTGATGTGCTTTATCAAGTTAATGAGTTTGTATTCATTTCTTTTTTAAAAATGAATTTTAAAAATTGGGGCTGGAGATATGGCTCAGCAGTTAAGAACATGGGCTGGTCTTCCACAGGATTCAGGTTAGATTTCAAGTACCCACATGACAGCTCACAGTGGTAGAATTCCAGTTGAAGAACTGATGCCCTCTTGTGGCCCTCATGGGACCAGGCATGCATGTGGTACACAGCAATACATATACACCTGATTTGTAAAATAAAACAAAATAATAATTTAAAAGAGGTCATGAATGGGAATGGATGCTTGAGCTGTGTAGCGGGGAGAGTCTTCCTAATGGCCTGGGAGCAAATGGAATTTCCCATATCCACAAGGTCCACCTGCACTTCCACTACAGGGCTGGAATTAGGGGGATACTCCCCACTGCTCTGTGGGGATCAAGGTTTCCAGGACTCTATGAGGCCTTTGTGGCACCACCCAAGTGCTGGGTACTGACTGCTTCTTCATGGTATCAAGTAGATGGAAGTCTAGGCTTCCTACTTAAACTCTGCTAGCACAGGAGGCCAAGGCCACATTGCTCCTCCCCCATGATGTGTGGCTGCAGTAAAAGAATTACTATCTAACTTTTTTTTTTCTGTCTCACTGCAACATGCCTTTCAGGGTCCTTTGGAGAAAGAGAATAGGTTTACTGGCATGGGGATTTTTGTATCTGTTTTCAGGTTGCAGGCTCTATCATCCTCAAGTCTGAAATGTGAGAAAAAAGAAAAGAAGGGAATTTATTGTGTTATCCTTTGGTTTTGTGGTTCCAATCTTGGCTTCCTTTTAGTCTCCATCTCTCAGAATCTTCAGGGGTTTTTAATACAATGGTCGGGGTTTTACACCATATGTAAAGGAGAACAGGAAAAAGGGCATTGAGACCATTCCTTGACTCTGAATTTTGTGGATGGTGGCACTTGCCTCCTAAGTAAGCAGATGCTATTGGTACCTGCCAACATGCTTACTATCAGCTGACTTCCAAGTATAAGTATTTGCATCATTTTTTTCTGGGAGCTTTCCTCAAGGCTACATGACAATGTCCTGCCTTTTCTTACCATGGTGGGAGTAAGATGGAATACAGGCCTCTGGGAATAATCTTTGACAAATGATGTGAGGATATTTTATGTAAAATAAGTCAGGTTTTTCCTCTTTGAATGGAATAGCCCTGGAGGATAATTTTTGAGAGTGTCCCTGTGAAATTAAGGTGGAGAAAAAACTAAAATGATTGATCTATTATCTCTTGACTATTTTCCCTGTTGGTATTTGATTACTGTATACTCATCCCTAGTCAGGTTCTGAGTGAACTGAAACACTACCTGGTTCACCCTGAAGTGTTCTTTTATTTCAGAAGGCAATTTTTACTTACAAAGATTTTTGTTTAGAACCAGATCCTCATCTTCCCTGTATAATATGAAATGGAACATCTTCAAAAACACAAGCACTGGATACAGAATTTCCAAATGCACTGCCTAGCTCTGAACTGGTGTTTAGTCACTAATCCCAGTCAGTACAATAACAGTCCACCACTTCTGATAAGTAGTAAACACATGCATCTTTTATCACCAAGGTGATAGACTATGCCCAGATAATCATACCAATGATTGCTCAGAACTGGCGCAAAATTGCTGTTGGGAGACTGACTTACATTTCTCTTTCTTTACAAGCCAGACTGAACTTGGGAATACAAAGGATCCATTTTCTAAGCACAAATGACATTTCCACATGCCTGCTATCAAGATACATCTTCTCATTGTTTCTTTATATTGGGTACATGGTTGCTAGAAGGTTTTTAAGCAATTGCTTCTCAGTTTGACTCTTCTATTCTCTCTTGCTAGTGATTATTGACACCAATGGCTCACTCGGAGATGTCATGAGTCTCATCTCCCTGCATGGCAGGATTGAGGAGGCCTGTATGTTTGCACATGAGAATAACTTTCATTTTGCTAAGACCAACAATTATTGCTTGGTTTTTCCAAGATTAGTGGGATTTTTTTGTAGCTCCTCCAGATTGCCAATCATCGTTTAATCACAGAAAGGTCATCTATGTTCTCTGTCTCTGAATTTTTGACAACCAAAGATATTAAAAGATATCACATTTGTCACTGGGGCTGTGTTGTGAGGGTTCAATAAATCACAGCCCCTCAGAATTTGCCTGGTGCAACCTACTCATGTAACAGACAAAGTTAAGTATAGCAAGATCAAGGGAACTGTTTAGGGTCATACTACTGATTGATGGAAAAGTCAGAGCAAGCATTCACTTTTTGTAGCCATGGGGAAATGTTTTGGCCTTGTCATGTAGGTAAAATCATTTTGCAAAGTTATAAGCTTTATGGGCTCATAGTGACTGAGCCCAGACTGAAGAGGTCTCACCGGATGCAATACAGTCTCCAGGGTTCTTCTCAATTCTGACTCTTTTCTAGTGGAACACTGAGTATGCCCAGTGTTTGTTCTTCTTTATAGAGAGGGGATCTCTGTAGAAATAGTGATGGGGGCAGGCTACCATGAAGCAGCAGGGGTGGTTTAACTGTTCATGGGACTCCTCACTTTGAATCTCCTGTTAGACAATACTCTTTGATTTGTGGTTAGCACATACACAGACAAACAAAGCTACAAGAAGCTAAGATCTTTACCTGTGGAAGCCTTTGATGTCTGGCAAATCTAGAATCTTTCTCAAACCTTCACTCAAACATTCTGAAACCTGACTTCATATGACGCATCTAGTCAGAATATTTTTAAATAACTTGGATATTCTACTAACTGGTGTGTAAATGATCTCTGAAAGTTTATAGAAGTTTTCAACTTCTTATTTAATGTTGTCCTTTCACATATACATATAAGACATAGGCTGACAATAATAGTATCTAGTTCATATGACTGCTGAGACCAGCCATGGCTCAATGAAAATCCAATGGCACAAATAGGAGCTCAAGAATGTTAATTTTGTATGTTTTTAGTGACATTAATATTGTCATTCCACAACCATACCAACTATAATCAGATTAAAGGACTTTCATGCTTTTCCTCACCAGGAACAGTATTTTCTCTGGCTTAAAGTCCAGGCAGCTTCAGCCTCTAGTCAGTAAATTCTTTAGTAGAGGCTTTATAACTTCCTGCCTGTTATCCTGTAATACACCCTACTACTGGCCCTTAAACTTATTCCTCAAAATGATCTCCCAAGACCTCTTCAAAACTAGAGTTGCCCTTTATTTTTCAGATCATTCTGTAGCTAAATCTCTGGAAAACAGATATATTTTTTTTGTTTTTTGGTTTTTTGAGACAGGGTTTCTCTGTGAAGTAGTCCTGGCTGTCCTGGAACTCACTCTGTAGACCAGGCTGGCCTTGAACTCACAGAGATCCACCTGACTCTGCCTCCTGAGTGCTGAGATTAAAGCATGTGCCACCATCACCCTGTAAGACAAATTGCTAAACTGTCTTATTAATGAAAACCCAGAGCCAGATATTGGAGTGAAAAACTGAGAAATCAGAGGAATAGGACAAGCCAGAGCCAACCTCACCTCACTGACACCTCAGTCTCCAAAGAGACCTACTTCCTGTATACACATGCCTGTATGCCTTTGTGTTCTGCCATCTTACTTCCTCTTCCTGCCCAGCTCTGTCACTTCCTGTCTATCTGTACAGCCCTCCAGACCTTTATGGTTAGTGCTGGGATTAAAGGTATATACCACCCTTGCATGGCTCTGTTCCCAGTGTGGCCTTGAACTCACAGAGATCCAGATGGATTTCTGCCTTCCCAGTGACTGGATTAAAGGTGTGTGCTACCATTGCCTGACCTCTACGTTTACTATAGTGGCTAGTTTTTTCCTTTGATCCTCAGATAAACTTTATTAGGGTACACAATATATTGGGAACACAATATATCACCACACCGCCCAGCTGGAAATCAGATATTTTGCTAATTCCTTTTAGAGACTTCAATCCTCTGGAATGATGGGATGTGTTAATCAGTGTTGTAGAATATTATTTTAACTATGTAAAGATGTGTTACACTTGTTTATGCTGTGGAATAGTACTTTAACTATAATTCTAGCACTTTGGAGGCTGAGGTAGGAGAGTTATAGTGAACTAAAGGCTGGCCTGAGCTACATAGTGAGTTTCAGGCCAGTGTGGGCTACACCCTGAGACTATGTCTTAAACAAAATTCAAACAAAGAAATAAGTAAACAAACATTGCCTTTTTAAGAAAGTCTCACTGGTTCTAATCTATAATTGTTATAAGTGTTAAGGACAGAGTAGATGCAGGTCATGACATATGGCATTACTCCCACCTCTCAGATGAAGTGCAAAGGTCAGGGGGTGAACCTGTGCCACATGCTAAGTGAATCTTGTGATACTCAGTTTAAATTGCTTTCCATTACCTTCAGGGCTACTGATACATGAACCCTGCAAGTGGATCTCTGCTGCTTGAACTCTTTACCTGTGCCCGAGTTCATGGGCGATGGTGAAAGCCAGGGGCAAGCCAGAATCTTCATTGATGTTACAACTCCTGTGAGGCTGGCACATTCCTGACAATTGAGACAGCCCCAGAGTTTCACAAGGGCGATTGACACCAGCACAGATATCCTTTCTGGAAGCAGAGAACAGAGATGCTTAAACACCCAAAGACATGTTAGAGAAGACTTCCTGTGCAAATACATCAGTATAAACTACTTACGGTTGGTATCTTTTAAGCATATTTTAAAATAAAGCCCATGTGAGAACAGGGATCAACTTTGAATTCGCTGGACCTATTCTGATTTTATCTCTTAATTAATTGAATTTCCCAAGCTTTAAAGTGTTGGGAAAATTTAAAGCATTTTATTTTGAGTGGTTTCTGCTCATCATCTCAGGAGACTAGTATGGTTAGGCTAACAACATATTGCTGAAATGGAAATAAAAGTTCATTTGAACATTGAATAAGGAAGGGATAATTAACAATTTTCTTTTCAGACGTGAAACCCCCTGTTGGTCTTTCTGAGGTCTGTTTTCAAAACTCATCTGAGGTTTGTTTGTTTATCTTGTTTTCGTTGGATGAAAAATGCAATTTCTCCCACTATCCCACAAAGAGACGAAATTATTTATCTAATCACACTACACTAATAAAACTTGCACGTGTGCACTGTGTATGTGAGAATCACATGCACACTGTGATACTTGAGCTCTCCTTTTCACCAAGCATTAACTAGAAAAAGGGAAAGAAGGACTAGTAAGATATCAGAAAACACTACAGCTTTTCAAAAAATAAGAGCATGCTCTCATAGCCTAGACAGATTATTTCAATCGCTGGCAAGAGTTTTCAGAGAGTCATTAATTAGTCACCAGACTTTCTTCAAACCCAAGAAGAGCTTTTGATTAGCACAAGTGCTGGTGATGCATTTACACTTTAGCTGCAAAGCTTAGCTCTTGAGATTTGTGTGGGCATCTTCTGCGGCAACAAATGGGTCACTTGCTTTTTGCGTCCTTAGGGAAATGGAAAGGATCCACACTTGGAGAACATATGAGAGCTCTCGGTTCTCTGAATGGCAGTGGGTAGGCCTAGGGAGTAAGAGAAGCAGCCCCCTTTCATGGGCAATGTAGATGTGAATCATATGTTTACTGTCTGCAGCTGTTGGAGGGTTGAGCATTGTAGAGGTAGATCATACAGTCTCCAGACATATATGTCCCAACCATGACTGCAGGATGCATGTTTTATTACTTAATTTAAAAGTACAGCTCTTCAGGGACCTGCTGGGGAAAAAGTGTATGACACCCATTGATAATCCATTAACTCTCTCAGGTTGATTTGGAAGGAGGCCCTGTCTGTTACATAATTTTTATGGAGTACCTACTAAGAGTTTAGCATCGAAGAGGGGAAAAGGGGAGACAATAAAGGAATAGTTAGTTATATACAAATCTGTTCCAAGAGAAGATTTTGGTATAAACCTATAGCAGTGCATTCCTAGGTTGACCAGTAGTCCCCTGTGGAGTAGGTTTGTGCAGATGTAGAACATTAATCACAAAGGCTCTGGCTCTCCCTAACAGAAGAGGCCTCTTTTAATATACATCCTTAGATTTCTGGATGTCTGTAAATTTGCATAAGCTATGTAGTAAGAACTAAATCCTCCACTTATTAGATAAGCCCTTATTATAAAGAAATTAGTAGGAAGTCAACAAATATTTACTGAGCCAGTGAAAAATCAGATTTCAAAGAACCTGAGTTGACTGGGAAAGCTCATTAGCTTTTCATAGTTCTGGATCCTGAAAGTTATGGTGTTTTTATAGCACCATAGGACCTATCTGTGCTCACAACATAATCACATCTTTGCAATGATGTGGAGTAAATCCAGGGCCTCACCAATACTAGGCAAGTGATCTACCACTGCACTATACTCCCCTATTAAAATCATGAGGGCAAAAAGGAGAAAAGCACATTTATATCACTCTGTTTACGTAGGGAAGGATGTGTGCACTGTATCCTAGGCATCAGTCAGGAGTGGGTTAGAACAGGTAAGTTCCTGGATAGTAGTGTCTCATAAATTGAAAAGGGGAAGATTAGATAGAAATAAAAGAATTGAAAATAGATTTCTTGGTACAAAGTAGAGAGTTTTAAAGGTAAAATCTTTGTTATGATAAGAAAAGAGACTTGTTTGACAACAGATGTAGTTTATAAGAAAGGAGAGTTTTCCAATATCAACAAGCTTGCTAATATGCCCTCTCCATGGTATGAGCCAGCAAGGGGCTCACAGACCACAGTTGCCACTTTCACAAATGACCGAGAGCAGAAAAGGGTAGTTAGAATCCCATGAGGGTGAGCCAATGACAAGACTTTCAGCCACTAGCCTTTCTCAGCTGGTTACCCTCCTTTCCCTATAGCCTCTGAGGTACCTGGTGATAAGAACAGCCACATCGTGATGGACAGGGTTGAGGTCACTCTTGGGATTGATGCTTTTCTGCCACTTGCAGAAGCTGGACAGTGTCTTCTCTGCATGGTGAACTATTTTCAATCCTTGCTGGAAGAAGAAGAGAAAGAGACTTGCATTAGGAGGCTCTCCGTGATCAAGTATTAGATAGTAATCCTTAGAAACTCTTCAGAGAGATGAGCTCAGGATGGTGCTCCAGGCATTTGGAAGATATTTGGCAGAGGCCAAAGTGTTCCCTTTGGACTGACTCTCTGCTCTGACCACTGTCACCCACACACCCAATGATTTTATTGAAAAGATCTAAAGGAGGAACCTCAGGACAGACATTGTCACCATATCAAGTAGCCCTTAAAAATAAATTAGACATAACAAAGACTCACACTACTTTGTAGCTAGAGTTTTCCTGCCTGGCCCACAGTCAGGACAAATCTCTCTCACCTGCCAGTCCCACAGCTGCTCAGACCCAACCAAGTAAACACAGAGACTTATATTGCTTACAAACTGTATGGCTGTGGCAGGCTTCTTGCTAACTGTTCTTACAGCTTAAATTAATCCATTTCCATAAATCTATACCTTGCCACATGGCTCATGACTTACCGGCGTCTTCACATGCTGTTTGTCATTGTGGCGGCTGGCAGTGTCTCTCTGACTCAGCCTTCCACTTCCCAGCTTTATTCTCCTCCTTGTCCCGCCTATACTTCCTGCCTAGCCAATGGCCAATCAGTGTTTTATTTATTGACCAATCAGCAACACATTTGCCATACAGAACATCCCACAGCACTACTTGAAGTTTATTTCTAGTGGGACAATGCATTCTAAACCAGTACAGTTCCAAAGCAGCATTTTTTTCATTTCTAATGAGAAATGAATAAATTTTCCACAAGAAGCTTCCTTTTCTCACAAGGTAGCTGTGAGGCTGGCTGCTAGGTACTCTCACATGTTACCTCATCTAATTCACTTGCATCTACTCAGCATTATCGGCAACAAAACATCATTATGTTCATTTTATAATTAGAGGAAATTAAATCTCTGAGATGGAAAGAACTCAGCTCTGTAGATGTAACCAACCGTCTTATTAAATAAGAAACACAGAACCAATGCAAAGAAGAAAGCCAAGAGATCAGAGCTAAGAGCCTTACCCTGCAGCTAGCCTCTTTAGCCAAGAGACCTCTCCAAAAGAGAGCTACTTCCTGTCTGTTTGTCTTTATATAGACTTTCTGTTCTGCCTTCTCATTGGTTGTAAAACCAACCACATGACCGCCTCGCCACTGTCTGTTGTACAGCCCTCCAGGTCTTCTATGGTATTGAGATTAAAGGCGTGTGTCTCCAATGCTGGCTGTATCCTTGACCACACAAAGATCTACCTAGCTCTGCCTACCAAGTGCTGGGATTAAAGGTGTGTACCACCACAACTGGCTTTTGCTATAGCTCTAATAGCTCTGACCCCCGGGCAACTTTATTTATTAACATACAATTAAAATCACATTTCAGTACAAATAAAATACCACCATACAGCTCAGATGCATCGAGGTTCCTAGTGAGGCTGCACTAGCAGTCATCACCCTCACTGGGAAGGTATCTTGGCTCTGCCTCCTTTATTCAGGAAGCCTGCTCATCAAATAAAACACCAACTGTGACCAGGGAGCTTTCAGATCTAGTCTTAACTGTATGCTTCTTTTAGGTGGGGGAGGTATCTCTGAGAGAACACTCACTACATTTAAAAAATTCACAATAACATTTACAATTATTTCAAAATAGTGGAATATTCAGCAAAAAAACTAACAGCCATGTACAGAATCTGTATTCTGAAAAATGTCAAAGTGCTGATAAAAGAAATTAGAGATGTAAATAAGAGAACTGACACTATGTTTATGGGTTTAAAGGTTCAATCTACTGACGATTCCACCCTTCAAACTGATTTGTGGCTGTTGCAATTCATGTTAAATTCTCAGCTGGGACTTTTCAAAACATATTCAAGCTCATCATAAAATATACAAGCAAAAGCACAGCCCTTATATTGTTTAAAACAAGTCTCAGAAAAGAAACATAATATCTGATGATTACGTGTATCCAATTCTAAGGTTTACTATATAGGTTCATAACTATGACAGTGTGATGTAGGTGCAGGGGATGGACACATGGTCAACAGAAGACAGAGAACTAAAAGTAGACCCCATAAACATACTTAAGTGTTTTGTTTTGTTTTTGGCAAAGGTAAAAATGCAATTCATTGAAGGGAAGATAATCTTTTCAATTAATAGTTCTAGATAGCAAGAGAACAACTCAATTAAAAATGGGAAGGAAGAAACCATGACTAGGCATTTCTCAGTCGATGACACACAAAAGGCCAATAAGCATATTGAAAATACTCAGGGTTGGGTACATTGACACACACTTATAAAACACTCAGGGTTGGGTACATTGACACACACTTATAAAATACTCAGGGTTGGGTACATTGACACACACTTATAAAACACTCAGGGTTGGGTACATTGACACACACTTATAAACCCAGACTTGGGAAACTGAGGCAGAAGGAAGGACTTGAACTGAGGCCAGCCTGTGCTACATAGGTGAGTTTCAGACCAACCTGGGCAACATAGTGAGAGAGGGAAAAAAGAACTTAAAAAGGAGAAAGTGGATGCTAATTAAAACCATAAAGCCCTATCACCATGTACCTGTTAGAACAGATACTGGCAAAAAGACAAATGATAAGAACTGGTAAGAATGTAAAGTAGAAACTCTTGGAATAGTTGGTAGAAATGTAAACTAATACAGTCTGGATTCAAAACAGCATGTAAGTGTTTTGAATCTAACATTTGATCTAGTAGTCCCTCTAATGAACATATATACAAAGTTATGAATTCTCTACATTGAAGAGATACACACCCCCATGCTCATTGCTGCATTTTTCATAAAACAGCCAAGATATGGAATCAGCTTAATATGCATGAATATAATAATTCTGATTAATTTTTTTTTCAGTTTTCTGAAACAGAGAAATAGTTTTAAGACTAACAAGTGAAGGAAATTCTGTCATTTGAAAGAGCATAGATGAACCTAGAAGACATCATTTGAAGTGGAATAAGCCAGGCACAGAAAGACCAATAGCACATGAGGACTCTGAAAACTTAGAATTTAGAATTAAACAACCAGGACCGTGAGCAGGATTATGTGACTAGGTGGGTGAAAGGTTCATATTTCAGTTTAGGTAGGAGGAATAAGTTCTAGAGCTCTACTACATGACATGGTGACCATGGTTAATAACAGTACATTAAATATGTAAGAACCACAAGAAGAATAGATTTTTAGTGTCCTCACTACAGGTAAACTATAAGGTGAAGTACATTTTAATTCATGTAATTTATTCATTCCATGTGCTTATATATTTTAAAATATTATGTTGTACATGACACAGATATACAATGTTTGTCAGCTCAATATATATATATATATATATATATAGAGAGAGAGAGAGAGAGAGAGAGAGAGACAGAGACAGAGACAGAGACAGAGACAGAGACAGAGACAGAGGAAGGAAGGAAAAGCTATAGTCAAAAACTAAGAAGAAAGTCACCAAATTTGAGAGACATATTTTGAGAGGCATATTTCAGGTGCTAGTTCCAGAGTTTCCAGTTTTCCCTGATTTCCACTGAGATACTAAATTTTAAAAATCCACCCTTGAGCTGGAGAGATGGTTCAGTGACTAATAGCCCACACTTCTCTTAAAGAGGATTCTAGGTTGGTTCCTAGCTCCCAGGTCAGACAGCTCACAACTGTGTGTAACTCTAAACCCAGGGGACTCTAACGCCCTCTCTGGTCTCTGCTGGCACCTGCACTTCTGTGCACATACTCACACAGAGACACACACTCATAGTTAAAAATAAAGTAAAACCATCCACATAATAACATATTACACATCATAGATTATGTCTCCATACTTCATCCAACTTATTTTTTGTAAATTAACATGTGAAGTAGTTAGGAGAGCAATGACTAATATACAATTGAGAAGAATGTCCACTGTAGCAACCGGGATTGGTATCAGTAGTTTTCAAACGGTAACACCACAAATAGGGCTGAAGATTTCCTCACTTCCTAATGCTTACACTAGAAATAACACTCAAATAACATTACTGTGAATATTTCTGCACAGTTAAGCTGATTACAATAATGGTTATAGCTATAGTATTGTTTTGTATGCTTTGGCCTTTCGTTGATCTTTCCTTATCTTATAATCCCAATGAGAACTCTATTTTCTTTGTAACTCCTAACTTTGCCTTAGTGGGCAGATAAATAGTCAAACACTGCTGCTAAGTAAACAGACTGAACACTTACCAAGGTCTCCTCAGATGCCCAAGAATGCTTAGCATGGCGGTGAACACCTGTGCTTCCTGTGAACCACAGCTCACATTAAATCATGGCACTATCTTCTAAAGACCGAGAACTAAAAGTCCCAGCAGTTCAAGGACATATTCTCCTGGCAGCTGTCATTTAAACTGGAGTGGCATTTGGCAATTGTAAAAAAATCAAACTCTATCAGTTAAGGCAAGAGAGGAAGTACAAAGGGAAGTCTTCAGACACCTTTGAGTTTGCAGAAGGCCTCTGAAAAAGTTCTCAGTTTAACACTATGCTGGTGCTCTGCTCTCAAATATCTTTCCATACTTGCATGGGTTCTCTTGTGTTCAGGATGTTAGGAGTGAAGCCAGAATGGCAAACTCTCAATCGAGAAACCATGAGATAAACAAAACATGTGTTTAGGGATTTGGTGAGCTGTGTCATGATGTTTGAAAGAGGCCCTGGCATCTGTTTCAGTTTAGAGCTTTTTGTCTTGGTGACCATGATTTGTTTCACAGTTACAGGAGCCCTGGAGGATTCTAACAAAGGGACTGTAAGGGTTGCTCCCCTTCCTCTCCATGCAGATCGATCTCTAGTCATCAGACTTGTAGCTTTACCATTGATTACACAAGGGAGGTCGGGATAAATAGTTCAATTCAGCAACAATCCAAGTTCTCCAGTTTTTTTGGTTTAAGAGACAGAAACTCAGCTAAGTCGAAATAAAATACAGTCAGGCTAAACTAATAATG